CGGCCCTTTGTGCGTTCTATCAAATTCCATCATCCATTTTAATGGGCGTCGTTCAACGGGAGACGCCCAGACCCGGCGCCGTTTTTTTCGTTAGTAGCAAACATGGCGTTATCATTTTTGCATTCTTGTGCCTTCTTGTATCTCCTCAGCCTATGGACTTTTAGCGCGAGCTTCTGTTTTAAAGTGTCTAAGAATTCTTCAGGTTTTCTATTGTCGTTTTCATGTCTCGTGTGCCTGGCCATGTTCTTAAATATTGCCTCGACTCTTTTGACTACTTTGTTAGATCTGTTATTGTTAATATATTGTGTTAGTCTACCGCAGTCAGCTCGTAATTTGTCTATATCGCTTTCGAGTCTCTGTTGCCATGATGGTTTGTTTATAATTCTTGGTCTTGTGCTGTCTGTGTATTCTGTTATTTTATAATTAAGTCTTCAGAAATGACTAAAGCTGTGCAATATAACAATGTGTGTACATCTACAAGTTGTGTATCTTCGGATATATATTGGTTTAGTATGATACTGTTACGCGCCGAAGTCGACGGCACTAGCGCCATATAGTATCGAACAGAAGAACTAAGCTTCTGGAAGCTGACTCTCGTTCTTTCGGCGCTTTGTCGATCGGTGCGCGTATTTACTTGAATGTTCTGGATGATTCGGTACTAATGTGTATTTATAGGCGTTGCAAGGTGCGATCGAGGAAGTATTGAAGTTGGCGAGACAAGCGAAGCTTCGGAGCGGCATAAAGTGAATCAGTGTGATTAATTATTAGTGTTTTTAACTTTAATTAGTGTAAAGTGAATTAAAGTGTTAATTTAGGTAATTCTATCGGCAATTTTTATTGTCACGAACCTCGAGCTCGTAACAATACGATTATATAAATGTACTAGATGAGACAGTTTTGGGGTGTATTTGAGTTTGGGTAGTTTTGGACGAGCTGCTGGATCCATACCTGAATATTGAGTTAGAGCGGTTTTCAGTTTGTCGTGTATTTCTTGGATGTGCGTTTCTGATAACAGATTTTGATCGACATTTTCTAAAGTCTCAATATCATTTTCTAGCATTATGGTTATGCTCTCGGTTTGTGTGGATGTGTGCGATCTATGTATACTATGTGAGTTTACTTGTGATTGATTGTAAGATTGAGATTGTTTGTTATGTTGCATTTGAGAGGGTCATTGTGGTGGTATTTGTAGAGTAGTTTCTGATGGTATATATGTTTCTGGGATAGGATATTGATTTAAATCTTCTATCTGTGCACGTACTTCTTCTTTTAGTTGATCTATTACTTCTTGAGATAAAAGTTTATTCCTTACTATTGTTCTTCTTTGATCGGAAATACGTTGTTCTGTTACACTAATTTCTGGGTATTGTCTTGTAAAACGTTCATGCAATTGCTGTCTGTATGTGGTCATGTCGGTCTCTAATTTGGTGATGTGAAAGTAGGTTCGCATGATAAATATGTTTACTTCCTTACTCCATCTTTGGTTTCCCAGCCTTGGTGGACGCGGGCAAGAAGGTATTTACCCCCCGCGCAACATTCAAGGTTGGCAAGGATGAATCTGTATGAGAACTAGTAATAGGGGGTGATAAAGATATGGAAGGTGATGATGGTATCGGTGGTGATGATGGTCTGAAAGGTGTGTATGAAATTGTGCTTGGGCTGATTGGTTCTAAAGGACTGTCTGTTCGGTCAGTCAGTCTGTCACCACCGTCACTGGTTTCGGCAGTAGCATCTTTGTCGGTGAGGGCCCGCCTGTTCAACTCCTCACCGCTGACGGTTCGCATGCTGAGACACCCAGCGCCAGCTCCAGGTGTGCCCCGGCGATCGTCCCTTGGACAGCGGTCCTAAACATTTTCTTTTTGAACGTGTCTCCATGTTCCAAATTGGGTTTCCAGAGCCACGTTAGCCACGCCAGTAATTTTTCAATCGTGTGTCCGCCCCCCACATGATACGATGGTCAATCAGGACGTGTGGTTGTTTAGGGAGCTTATTATTATTATGGGAGGTATAAATATAGTTTTCTCATCTGGTTGGGTTCTATAAATATATAATTATAAATGAAAATGAAAAGATAAATATACATAAATATCAATAACATAAAATAAATATAAATATACATATTATTATTATTATTATTATAGATGTTTTTAATTTATCTGGAAATCATCCATGTATGAAAGAAAGGTTTATTAAGTACGTCAGAATTGGTGCAAATTCCTTCACACATGATTTCTGTATGTGTGTAGTAATAGAATCATAACCAACAGATTTAGTATTATTAAGAGAATTTATTATAATAATGATTTCATTTAATGAGCAAGGTTTTAAAAAGATCGATGATTGAACATTTTCATACATATTCCTTTTAGTTTTATTATTTAAAGAAGAACGGTCGTGAAGAGCTGTACTAATAAAATACTCATGTAGAGGCGCTGTCGTCGCGCCACTAGCGCACTGAAACACACCGAAGCCTAAATCGCGCTATTAACATTCCAAATCATAGACAGTATATATAGAACTTCTCCGAACTATCACTCGGAGTGTTGGCCGCTCCCCGGGCAGAACACCTTGCCCAGAGGGAGATCTTCCCTTTTCTTCACCACGGCAACGCGCAACTTCTGAACATGCAACCAACAACCTTCGGAAACTTCAAGCTTCATCATCGTCATAAAACAACCTTCGGAAACTTCAAACTTCATCAACGTCATAGAATACCCCACCCATTCGCTTCCGAGTAGATATCGTCTGCAGTCTTTATATCCTGCAAGCCATCTAGCTTCACAAGGTTTATCGCAGCACTGGAATAATAATGCTTCATGTTCCTTCAAGCTACTATCTGCGCTACAGTGTTCGGCAAGGCTCTGAGCCTTACTGCTCGCCTCTGCTTCACGGCACTCTCGCAGATTACTTGCCTTCTTCTCGACTCACCGCAGACTACAAGGCAATCTCCTGGCACTTGCACATTCGTCGGCAACGAGGCTGCACTATCGACCTCCGGTCTGAGCAGGGGGCTGATGTAGCGGCGCTTTCGTCGCGCCACTAGCACACCGAAACACACCGAAGCCTAAATCGCGCTATTAACATTCCAAATCATAGACAGTATATATAGAACTATCACACGGAGTGTTGGCCGCTCCCCGGGCAGAACACCTATCCCGGTGGAGATCTCCCCTTTTCCTCACCACGGCTAAAGTCATTAAATTTACTGGCAATGACGAAAGGGTTATCTATTTTAGTTCCATTACAATTAATCCAGTCAATATTATTATTTCGTGTATCATTATATTCATAATTTTTAATGATTTCCCAAGTAGCTTTACTTTTACTTTTTGAATGTAACAGGTGTTTCATGTTTAAATTTTTTTCGACCATGTTACACAACTTTTTAATAATTTTGAATATTTGTTATAGATTACTTTGTTTTCTAAACTTTTTGTTTTGTAATATTTATGTTTTAGTTTTCTTTTAGTTTTACTTGCAACCCTTATACCTTTTGTGATCCACTTTGGAGCGAGATTGTCTGTTTTGATTTTATATCTTTGTAATGGAAAACAGAGCTCATATAATAAACAAATTAAGTCATGAAATTTATTAAAAATGTCATCTGTAGTTTCTTTTTCCCACGATATATTTCGAAGGCATTTACGAAACTTATCAATATTTTCCTTAGCGTAATTTCTTTTCGTAGTATACCAGAATTTAATTTTAGGTAGCATTTTAAGTAGAAACCTTAGAGATTGACATGTGTTATGATTTGATAAATGAAAATTGTACAGGGAACTAGAAATATCAGACTCTTTGAAATTGCTAGCTATATGATCAATACATGTGTGATGTCTCGTAGGTTTATCATTATGTAGTTTAAGGTTGTAGCTGTATAACAAATTTTTTAAGTCATGAGTGACGTTATTATTCTTAAGTGTGTCAATATTAAAGTCACCACACAATATGACTTTCTTTTTGTTAAGCTTAAATGCTAATTTATGAAAAAGAAGATCTAGTTTGTCGAAAAGTATTGATTAAATTTAAATTCTAAATTTTAAACTAAATTTAAAACTTTAAATTCTATTGACTTTCTAATAAGAATACATATGTACACCTCCACGTTTTTCTTTTGTTCTACAATATAGTGAAGCTAATTAAAATTTTTTAAACTGAATTTTACTCTCATCTCCCTTTTTAACAAATGTTTCACTAAAACATAAAAAGTTTATTTCTTGCCCCTCATTTGTTAGTTCATCAATACATAGTTCTATCGAATCAATTTTTTTAAGCAAACCTGCTGTTTTGATGTAGTATGGAAGTAATTTCATGTTTTTGGTTGTTATTGCGTATGAAAAAATGGAGTCGTGGACACATTTACGTTTGTACTTTTTTCAACAGTTAATGTCTTATTTAATTTATTCACCTTTTTGAAATAATATGGTATGGTGCCAATTTTAGGTTCAACTGTTTTGCTTTCATTAGCTAACATAATTATTTCTTGGGATTTTCTCATAATGTGCATCGCATCAGATGTATTACTGCGATTTTTAATAATAGTTTTAATATTTTTAATAAAATGATTTTCGTAATATTTAGTCTAATATTAGATTAATCTTTGCACAAATATTTGCGTGATATTCCATCCTAGACCTGTTCGTGCATTCTATAAAATTACAATTTGGAATGTTATAGCACAAGTTTTTTTAACATATTAATTAATTTATATTCATTCAAATATTTATTGTAATTAGTATTAAGTATAATAAAGTTTGAGTTTTTTAGTATTTTTATTACACCAGCTGTTTCAACACAACACAAAGAATAAAGTAGTAAGTGTTAGAATCTTCAATGTTATAACAGCATATAAGGATTTCTTCTGTTTTGGCATGAGGTTTTCTCCAAGAGAATATGTCAAAATCTTCGAATTTTGTGTTGGTTCTAGAATAAATTAGTTTTGACGCCAGACCTACGCATTGTTGTCCTCCTACTATGAAAATTTTGCTCTTTTTTAATACCTCTTTAAAGCTTTTTTTAACATTATCTGATGGCAGCTTTGTGATATTCAACTTCGTCATTTGAGTGGTAGTATCCAAAACAGTTCCTTCTTTAGTTTTATTTGAACGTAATAAGTCCATTTGTGGCATGAAAAGAGTGCGTTTTATTTTTCGAGTAGGTTTCTTTATTGTAGATGTACTTGGGTTCCTGGGAGAGTCTGAAAGACTACAACAAATTTTATTCAGGTTTTTATTTTGTATTCTAATGATATTATTTTAGATTTTAGATTATTATTTTCTAAGATCAGGTCGTCTATTTCCTTATTAGCACTTTCTAATTGCCTTTTTAATGTATGCATTTCATCTTTTAATTCTTCCATAGTTTCATCACACCGTGTTGATAAGACCGGTAGACTTCTTGCTCTGTTCATTTTTTCTGATCTAAACGATATTAATGATTCATCATCCGAATTACTCGTATTTAGTTGGGTAATATGTTTTCTAAATGTTATGTATTGCGTTATTTCTTCCCGTGTATTTTCCATTGTTTTCAATAAGTACCTGTTATTTTTATTTTCTTAGATAACAATGTTTAATCTTATTCAATTCAATATTCGAAACGTTTTGAGAAACTACTATACATAGCGAAAACTGTTACAAAAAGAGAACTTGTTTGCGGGATACGAACTCGTGCCAGACAGCTGACTTGACAATACCGAACATTAAGCCGCTACGCCACCAATTAGATAAGAAATTTAGCAAAATTAATATTCTGTATGTACGCTATCTATTTTATAAAAACTTTAGACGGTATTTGAAGTTTTGAATTGAGAAACGATGATTTTAGTCACTTTTTCTATTACATAAATACACTAGTTTGTGTTTTTTTTTTTGTTTATATTGTTCCACTGTTAATAGTCGTTATTTGAACTGCACTGTTTGTTTTTAAGTTATTAGAAGAAAGAATAACACTGTACTATTTATTATAAACAAAGTTTTATCCACACCTTTTAAAGACGATTTTAAGCACTTTTCCCTAATAATTTCGTCTAGATAACACTTTCTCTTGTTTTTTGCACTGTCTTATTTAAGATTTAATATTTATTTAATGTTAAACTATGGATTTTAGTAGTTTTAGACAAAAATAAATGCGGAGTTGATGTTTCGCGTGGCCCGCTACCTACAATACTTTCATCATCATCATCATCCATTCTCACCCTCCTGCCCTCATCACAATTGATTTGAGTTTGGCAGCATGTCTTCTTTTCAACGTATATCGATGATAATCAGTAATAGCAGTGTCCCTTCGCAGGCTTTCTTTACGTACGAATTTCTAGTTTTATAACCAGTTTTGGGGTAAATTTTTCTTCACACTTGTAACCCCAAATATAGTGAAATAGAGCATTTGGTTTCTTTTTGCGACACGCTTTGCCGGTGTCTATAGCATTCTCTGTCTACGCAAAGTGGAGTAGCTCAGGCCAGGGACATTTTTTTTTTACATGAAGATAAAAATATAACTTAGGGAAATTACTATGCTATACTACTTATCCAAAAATAAAAAAATTATCAACATTTAAAGAATTATTTATATGAAGGTCAAATGAGCACTAGAAAAACGACAGTTGCAAGACGTCGATAAATAAAATGTTTTGAGAAGTTATCTATCAATTACCGTGTAGTGGTGGTGTATATCATCCCGTGGGTCTCGTAAGATTCGACCAGAATTTGAGAAAAATGTTATTATTAAATAATAAAGACCGTCGTTCTGGTTACAAAAAAGTCACAGTGAAAAATAATTTTGTCTCTGTCACGTTGATAAATAACGTTGGATAACTACTTGGAACATTAGAACGACTTATAACATGACTTTAAATATGCATTTTAGATTTAGTATTAGGTTTTATTTCAGTAGTAGATTTTTTATTACCTTCCTTACCTAAGCTACGAAGGTGGCTATGTTACAAGGACCATTTCAGCCTCTCGTCTGAGAGGTTTCAGGCAGAATTCAGCTAGAAAAAAAGCCGCATCTGTGGGCTGGCTGAATTCTGCCATTACTATACGGTCGCATTTTGCGGCAAAACTCGTATGTTTATTAATCTTTCTCAGTGCAGTAAGATTCACGATCTTGTTCACTATGAACTTGGCTGTATGGTATACATTAATACTAGTAATGTCTAAAGAAAGTTAAAATGTGGATGTCACTTTTGTATAGCCTCAGATTAGTTGGTTCCGTGAAAGTTATAACTTATAACATTGTTTTCCTGAAAAATTTGTATGAAGAGCAGCAGCAGGTTTTTGTGATAGATCTGTTAAAATATGTACTGTTGATGTAATTAAACTCTTATTATAATTAAAATTTGCTTAGTTTTATTTTTACATATAAATAAATGTAGTAAAAATAATAAAATAATAATAATTGTTATACAATAACAGATTTATTATATTATTGCAGTTGTATGATTTAGAAATAGGAACAGAAACTAATTCTGAGTAATGGACAAATAAAATAAAACTTTAATTTGAAATAGAACTGCAGGTATTATAGTTTGTATAAACTTAGGGCCAAAAATACATGACATGACAACATGACAGTTTCCATTTTGTTTTCCTCACAGATGAGAGGTTATTTATTATTTTTGAAATATACGAATTTCACCTAACCTAGCCGATCAGTTGGTATTCCGTTCCAGTACGCGGTACAATTATTACTATGCGTACCTCGTTAGACAGTAACACGAGTAACGAGATTAAATCAGTGACACGAGTAACGGAGAAAATTGTACGGTGGCGGCGCGAAGGAACGTTTTATGCTTTGAGTACTTAATCAAAGGAGACGGCATCGCAGGGCATACCCGTCTGTAAAAGGTACGAGAGTTCGACTCATACCCGTTATATAAAACTAGTGGCTCCGCGTCGTACGCCATTACGCAAGTGATCGTGCCAGTCAATTGAGCTCCGACAAAAAGCCGAATTGCTGTGTATTTTCATGCAAAAAACTATCAAAACCGTGAAATCGACAAAAGGACTTCCCGGAGCGTCGGTGCTTCACATCAACTATATGTTCCTTCACGCGGGTTTTTATAGATCTCTTTATACGTAGTTCATCCCCATCGTCCATTCAAGATCGTCCCCACCATTACATTAGATTTGATAAACCACAAATTCTCGCAAAAGAACACCGATTCCTACCAAGGATGATACGCGAGGCTATTGAAATTAAAAAAACATACAAATTTCAATAGAGAAGATGGTTGGGTGCTACCATCTGCTAGGATCCTATAATTAACAAAATTAAACCCAAACCAAGCATACCACTGCAAGACTTGTTATCCGTAAATCGGACCAAAAATTAATATTAAATGAACCGGATCTCTCAGTCCCCCCCCGTGACCACGGGTGCTGTAAAGCACCCGAAACGTCGGGATAATAATAAAAATAAATTAAAGTAATTAAACGCGATAAAATCCTTAAATAATAGTTTTATTCAATGTGTAGTGTTCGCGTAAATTTAAGAAATCATTAAGAAAATTACTGCCACAAAAACTATTACACGAAATAAGTAATGAAGTAAGAGAATATATTAAACAGAATGAGAACCACAAACACACACAGCACTCAAATAACAGCATCATCACAAACTAACACTACGAACAATACCAGGATGAAACGGTTGGATGAAATAAATGAAGAATCATTAGATTTTTCTTGAAGTAACTGAGTAGGAGAAAAATCAAACTGGCTACTGGAAAAAATTGTATAAACTGTTCACAGAAAGACATCTATATTTATCATACCTTACTGAAAAGAGGATTACCGACCAAAGAATATTAATATTCAAATTAAGAAATACTCAAATAAAATTCATGAACTGAGAAGAGAAGTAGAATTAAAATTGAGGGAGCTGAATAATCGACTTCAACCAAATACATAAAATTATACCGTAATATAATATGAACAAACTCAGCAAACCCAGTATAAAAGCACAATAGACATCTTTACATCTGTTCACCATACTCAACTTGATAACATGATAGATAGTACAAACACTGTCACAGAAACATGTACATTAAGTAATGCTCAAAAGGAAAATTCCCAATCGCAAAATCCCATGTAAAGTAACAAAATTGAAATAGAATTCAATAATGATATTGCAATATTTAGCATAACTGATGCTGAAGCAAGGCCATACATCCCAAAAGCAGAAATCTTCACGAAAATTTGCTCAGATTGTTCACTACTTGAATAATGAAATTTTACCCAGGCATCTTAATCATGATTTAGATTTTACTTCATTACATACCTTAATATATTCAGCAGCTTATACAGCCACCTTATCCAATGGTTTCAGATTTAACACACAGGAAAATATAACTGCAAACAATCGAAATAGAAAACCTACCTACCACCTGGCAAAGAAGAATTGAAAGCAGAATAGAAAAATATAGATTAGAAATTGGAAGATTAACACAATACATAATAGGAAATAGAAATCAAAGAATATTAAAGACTGTAGAAGAAATAAAGAGGAAATATAAAACACACTCTCAACATGAAGAATCTAACACGGATCCACAACATTTTCTCGACACACTCAAGCAAAACTTAAATGCGCTATCAAATAGATTGAGAAGATATTTAATATGTACTAAACGTAAACAACAAAACGCAAACTTTGTAAATAATGAAAAACACTTCTGTAGAACTTTGGGCACTAACACCATATTAATACTACACGTTCTACTCAATTCCCATCACCACAACACTTACAATAATTTTGGGCAGGCGCTTGCGAAAACCCAGTGGCACATAATAGTAAGGCTGAATGGTTAGACGAAACAGTAAACATAGCAAATATTAAACAAATGTATTTCGAAAACCTCCCTGTAGATATATTCATTCGAATAATCAAACGCACACAAAATTGGAAAGCACCGGGTATCGATAATATACATAATTACTGGTACAAAAGCTCATATGAACACATCCATTTATCCACAATCATATTTGTCAGTTCATACATTCACCACGTAATATTCCAACATTCATAACAAGCGGTCTAACTTAAATGCTTCCGAAAGATTCAGCTCCAAAAGACCCCACAAATTACAGACCGATAACATGCTTATAAACGATATACAAGATTATTACAGGATGCATTAGCAAAATAATTTACAGACACCTGATAAACAAAACATTCTTGCAGAGCAACAAAAGGGCTGCAAGAAAAATAGCCAGGGATGTAAAGAACAGTTGAAAATAGATGCAATAGCCATTAAACAAGCACACAACAAAAATAGCAATAATTGATAGAATCAGGCGTTACTTTGCGGAAATTCATTATAATAAAGATATCAAAATTTAATTCGCAACCATTTTACCGTAACCATTTTAGTTAAGCGGGTGGTTGCGAATTAAATTTTGATATCTTTACTTATTTTAAAAATAGAAATATTCGTATAATGTACATTGATTACAAAAAGGCATTTGATTCTGTCCCTCATAGCTGGTTAAATTATGTACCAAAACATTACAAAATTCATACCAGTCTCGTTTTTAAATGTAGCCATGCTTCATTGGAAAACGAAACTAAAATTAATTTATAACAGTTCCTTAAGTACTGAGTCAGTAAAAATACAAAGAGGTTTATTTCAGGGAGACGCTCTTAGTCCGTTATGAAATGAAATGAATGATTTTATTCAACATAGATTATTATATAATACTTATTGAAAGTCATTTTTTAATTTACCAGTGGTTCGCAAAAACAAACCTCTGTCCTGGGAAGAACCAACAAGAAACCCAGCGGGAATTTTTTAAAAACTTATTTAAATTTACAATAAATTTATTTTGTTACAATTTTTGAATGAATTTTTATAGAAACAGCATTGTAGCGATCACCTCGTTCGCAGGGGTTATTTTCATTTATGTATTCATTTATATTATAACTAGCTGTTCCCCGCGACTTCTTTCGCGTGTGAATTTCATGGATTTGAATTTTTTGCCAGTGAATGTCCTGACAAAATTGGTTTAGCCATTTCGGGAATTAGCCGGAACGAACAGAAAAATAGACACAAAAATTCAAAATTGTTTTTTGTTTTAAAAATATTTCATACAGCTGTGTCCCGCCGTTTCACCCGCGTATATCACGTGTCTGCGCCGCGCGACATGACATAACACCTCGCTCATTTAGTTCAATCATTTTAGCTAAAAAATTGGCAAAAGTAATGTAGTACTTTTATCTGTCGTCATAATATGTACGTTATACAGCAAAGTTAAATTTTATCCACTCTTTCTCCCCCTCCCGGATGCACCTGCCCCACGGGTTTTCCCAGTTTTAAAAATAATGTACAGGTATTGAAATGTTTGGAGGTACGAAACGATCCTTGATGATTTTTCTACCAACCTTTTACGAAAATCTTATACGAAAGTGATATCATTTATAGTTTTTGCGCAATCTGCCACAAATTATGAACATTTCTTATCTTTAGTAGATTTTTTTGCTCAAAGGTTAGGTTTATTAATATTTCCAACTTTACCGCCAAAATATGTATGACTAGGTAAAGTTAAGAATAGAATATGCTCTTTAAAAAGAGGTACAAATTATTTCTTAACTCTTTCATTATGATAAAACTATTTATTTAAGTAAGAATTGATACTACGATACGACTGTAACCGACTTTTGTTTCGACCGGTGTAATTAAATTTTAGAACACAAAAGGTACTATTGTGACTTAGTTACGATAGTTATATTATTACTTACGCGAAATTTTTGCAGGTAATAATGAGTACTTTAATCATCTAGCACATAATTTTTATGTATCATCAAGTTTTCTCAGCGCACGCCAAATAATGAATTTTATAGGCAAAATTTTGCTACTTTGGGTTACAATCTTCTTAGAGATCTCAGAAACAAACAAGAAAATTTTTCTCCTTCATAATATTAGTATACATAATTAATTTTTTTTAATTTTTTACTTTTTTATTCCTTTTTAATTTTGATTATTTTTTTATTAGAAATATTATTATATTATTTGTAAAAAGTTATTATCGTTAGACATATGGTTTCGCGGACTATTTTGTAGATATTGATATCTTCTGTAAAACTGTAGTAGGGTAGAATGGGGTAATGCCGGTCACTTAAGGAAAAATTAACACAAAGCGAATATAAATCAACATATCTTTATAGAACTAATCACAATCTCGAATATAATTATTCTACTATTAATGGCACTTTAATTCAGATCACTAGTAATCATAGTTTTGGTATAATAAACATTAAAAAAACGTGTTTGACTGGTAAACGAGTAAGGTAAGTAGCTTTATAGTGTTAATGGGAGCATAAATCACATTTATAATCTTTTGCAGAGTCACGTCCTGAACATTCCGAGTGGGCCCAACGTTCACACAATATACATCTGTACCACAACTCGTTGTCTCGTCCATAGTCATCGCAGATTATACATCTGTTCCCGACATCGTCTAAATCCGTGTCATCGTCTTTGCGTAAATCTGTCATCTCTATTTCAGAGTTTGAAGTACTGTCTTCGTTCATATACTCATTCTGTAACACTTTCCTCTTCACTCCTTTCAATTCTATACCTTTCTTCAAATTCCTTTTCATTCTTGTTGGTTTTTTACGATTATTTTCTTTTTTGCTATCCAGATCTTCACTTATAGGATCATTTTCATCTTCACTATAATCCATCTTGTTCACTTTTTTTACCTTTGTAGTTTTCATTGTTCTCTCCTTTTTTATTGTAATTTTTTTTTATTTTCACTGTTTTATTTGTCTTTTTTTTTCAACTTTTATCTGAGCTTTTGCTAATTTTGCTTTTTTTGCTTTTTCTCAAATAAAACTATTTTATTCGGAGTTCCTGTTATTACCGTAGCACGTTGTTTCCGCATCGCTTTTATATTTTTCTGTTTGGATTTTTTTGGCAAAGGAAGAAGATCCTTCACAGTAACTTTTTCAATATTTTCAATATGGGTTTTGACTGAAGATATTCCAGATGTTGAGGGAATAGGATTGTAATAATTGACATTGGACTCGGTTTCATTTACAGCTGGTGGTGTTATGTTATGCAAATCAATATGAGAGATATCGCTAATTGTGGAGTCTAGGTTTTCGAAATCTGTCGATCGTCGTCGAGCTGTGGAATGGCAGGCGAAATTGTTGCGTTGCGTGATGCAACAGAAGGCATTTCAGAAGATAATACGGCATCGTGGTGATCATTTAAGTTGGGTTGAGAGATTTGTAAGGTTGCTTTTGAATCGTCAAGCAGAGAAGAATAATAACGTCACTCTTGACTTAAAAAATTTGTTATACAGCTACAACCTTAAACTACATAATGATAAACCTACGAGACATGACACATGTATTGATCATATAGCTAGCAATTTCAAAGAGTCTGATATTTCTACTTCCCTGTACAATTTTCATTTATCAGATCATAACACCTGTCAATCTCTAAGGTTTCCACTTAAACTGCTACCTAAAATTAAATACTGGTATACTACGAAAAGAAATTACTCTAAGGAAAATATTGATAAGTTTCGTAAATGCATTCGAAATATATCGTGAGAGAAAGAAACTACAGATGACATTTTTAATAATATTTTTAATCAATTTCATGAGTTAATTTGTTTATTATATGACCTCTGTTTTCCATTGCAAAAATATAAAATCAAAACAGACAATCTCGCTCCAAAGTAGATCACAAAAGGTATAAGGGATGCAAGTAAAACTAAAAGAAAACTAAAACATAAATATTACAAAACAAAAAAGTTTAGAAAACAAATTAATCTATAACAAATATTCAAAATTATTAAAAAGTATCGCGTAACATGGTCGAAAAAAATTTAAACATGAAACACCTGTTACATTCAAAAAGTCAAAGTAAAGCTACCTGGGAAATTATTAAAAATTATGAATGTTTGTATACGTGTATCATTATACACGAAATACTAATATTGACTGGATTAATTGTAATGGAACTAAAATAGATCATCCTTTCGTCATTGCCATTAAATTTAATGAGTATTTTATTAGTACAGCTCTTCACGACCGTTCTTTTTTAAATAATAAAACTATAAGGAATATGTATGAAAATGTTCAATCATCGATCTTTTTAAAACCTTGCTCATTAGATGAAACAATAATTATAATAAATTCTCTTAATAATACTAAATCTGTTGGTTATGATTCTATTACTACACATATACTGAAATCATGTGTGAAGGAATTTGCACCAATTCTGACGTACTTAATAAACCTTTCTTTCATACATGGAAGATTTCCAGATAAATTAAAAACATCTATAGTCAAACCTTTATTTAAAAACGATGACCGTCATGAGATTCATAACTATAGGCCGATATCGTTGATACCTATTCTATCCAAAATATTTGAAAAAGCCATGAATAGTCGAATTATTAGTTTTGTAGCAAAATATAATATACTCAGAAACGAACAAAATGGCTTTCAAAAACATAAATCTACTACACTTGCTACGTTACCACTGATACGTCGAATAACTGAATGTTATTAATAATAGAGTACCAACAGTAGGCATCTTTTTTGATATGTCTAATGCCTTTGACTGTGTAGAACACAGCAAGTTGTGTACAAATGTGAAAAACTAGGAATCAGAGGAGGCTTTGGAATGGATCGAAAGTTATTTGAAAAATCGGAAACAATGTGTTGAAGTATCACGTATTAATAATAAACAGGAGTTAACATATTACAGATCTCCTTATCTACAAAATGACTATGGGGTAACTCAAGGAAGTGTCTTAGGCCCTTTATTGTTCATTCTATATATACACGACTTACCGAGTATAACAAATCATCATTCAATACTATTTGCTGATGACATATCAATTGTTATACCCCACACTAATAAGTTACAGACATATGAACAAGAAATAAATTCTACTATAGAGTCAGTTATATCGTGGCTAGAAGATAATAATTGACGAGTCAACACTAACAAAACTAAATATATTCAATTTGGAAATTATAAAACAAAACCACAAAAATTGTACTTAAGATATAAGGACGAAAGATTAGTAGAGGTAGTAGATACACAATTCCTAGGTGTTACTATTGACCGGTATGTAAATTGGAAATTACACGTACAAAAAGTATGCAAAAAGGTTAATCAATTTGTTTATGCAATGCGTAAACTTCAAAATGTAGCAGGTCCACAAACAGCACGTATTGCTTACTACGGGTACGTTAAATCCGTCTTAAGATATGGACTACTCTTGTGGGGCAACTCAACTGACGCAAACAAAGCCTTCCTAAGTCAGAAGAAATGTATTTGTGCACTGTGTAATGTAGGCCCTCTTGAAAGCTGTAGACCCCTGTTCAAGGAAAAAGGTATTCTCACTTTAACTGGTTTATATATATTAGAAATTTGTGTTTTCATTAAAAATAATTCTAATCAATTTGTTACCGTGCAGGAAAATAATAACTCTAGCAAAAAGAGATCCGACACGTCTACTCATGCCATCTTGTAAAACTACATTATTCCAGAGGAATTGCCTCACAATGTGTATCAAGGTTTATAATAAAGTTCCTAAAAATATTCGTGAACAGCCATTAAGGCGAATGAAAAAAGTTTAAAGCAGTGGCTAATAAATACTGCCTTTTATAATATCAAAGAATTCTTTAAACATAAATTTTGATTCTATTTTTATTGATTTTGCTTAACTAAGTAAATTACTATAGATCCAGGATTTTGCGTGATACTGCTCAAGTAAACAAAAATTTATTTTTCTATTTTTGTTATGTTTTCCTAAAAACATAAATATAAATTGTTTATGAACGAAAAAGAAAATTTATAAAAGTGCTTATTTCTAATTTTATTTTTTTAATTTTAATTTGTATTTAACATATTTATTTTAAACAATTTTTACGCATGCCACAAAAGGCAAAACATGTGGAAACAAATGTTGACTCTGTATCCATCGCGCATCAGACGCGAATTGCTAGCTGTGGTAAAGTCGTTGCAGCATTTTAGCAAATATCTTCTGGAACGAAAATTTCACTTACGAACTGACCATGCTGCACTAAAATGGCTATTGCAGTTTAAAAATCCAGAAGGACAAGTTGCGAAGTGGATTGAACTACTGCAGGAATACGACTTTAAGATCGAACATCGCAGCGGGAAATCTCATGGCAACGCACATGTATTGTCAAGAATACCTTGTCCTGAAGATTGCAAACGTTGTGCTAGGCAAGAGAGTAAGGAAGTGGTATCCGTGAGGATGCTCAGGACAGACCACCTCAGCAACGAGTGGAAGGACAGCTTACAACATGCACAGCAGGAAGATCCGGACATCAAGCCGATTCTGGAATGGATGAAGGCCAGTGCTCCCAAGCCCAAGTGGAGCGACGTCTCAGCGATGTGTTCGAACACTAAAAGCTATTAGGCCCAATGCTTGCTGCTTCAGGATGGAGTTCTGTGCCGTAAATGGGAAAATGTTCGGGGAGACAGCTGTCATTTGCAAATGGTTGTCCCTAAAGCTAAAGTACCGGATGTTCTACAGCTATATCATAATGATTGTTCAGGAGGCCATCTGGGAGTTAAACGAACTCTACTGAAGATTCGAGAACGGTTTTACTGGGTCCAGTGTCGAAACGATGTCGAGGACTGGTGTCGCAAATGTACAAGTTGTGCGGCTGTAAAGGGACCTCAGACTCGTAGTAGAGGTGCATTGAAGTAGTACAATGTTGGTGCACCATGGGAGAGAATAGCCATTGACGTGGCGGGGCCGTTTCCGGAGAGTGAAAGCGGTAACAAGTATTTCATGATTTTGATGGATTACTTCACTAAGTGGCCAGAAGTCTTTGCCATTTCCAATCAAGAAGCTTCAACAGTTGCGGATCAACTAGTTCATGAAGTCGTCTGTCGTTTTGGAGTACCTTTAGAGATTCACAGCGATCAAGGAAGGAATTTTGAGTCTCAAATATTCCAGGAAATTTGCCGAGTTATGGGTACTCATAAAACAAGAACGACTTCTTATCACCCGCAATCTGATGGAATGGTAGAACGATTTAATCAGACATTGGAGAGGTACCTAGCAAAATTGTAGACAATCGGCAACGAGATTGGGACAAGCACATGCAACCGCTTTTGTTGTCATATCGAAGCGCTGTTCACGAAAGTACAGCAGTGACACCAGCTTTCGCAAACTTTGGAAGAGAATTACGGCTGCCTGCAGACCTGATCACCGGGATATCACCCAATGCCCCACGCAGTATAACCGATTATGCAAATGACTTGCGGAACAAAATGAATGACATTTATGAGCACGTCAGACAATCGGGCCAGCAAATGTCTGAAAGGATGAAAACTCGGTATGACCGCAAAATGAACAACAAAGGGTTCGACGAAGGTTCACTAGTGTGTTTGCACAATCCAGTCCGCAGCAAAGGGAAATCTCCTAAGCTTCAAGCTAAATGGGACGGCCCGTACCGGATTGTCACCAGGATCAACGATGTAACCTACCGGATACAGAAAGGCGCAAGAGCTAAGATGGTCCATGTAGATCGCCTGGCGCGTTATTATGGGGCCGATAATGCTCGGGACGAGCATGTCTTAGGAGGGGGCAGTGTTGCGCGCCTAAGTTGACGTCTGGCACTAGCGCCATCTAGTGTCGGGTAACAGAGCGAGGAGAGTTTTCCAGAAAATGACATGACTAATCTTTTAACCAACATCGCCATCTAGTATCGAATTGAAGAACTAAGCTTTCTAGAAGCCTCACACTCGAACTTTCTGCGTCTGGTCGGTCGGCGCCCGTATCTACGGGAATATTCTGGATGTTTCGGCGTAAAAGTGTATTTAAACCCGCTGCATGCCGCGATCGGAGCAGTATTGAATTTGGCGAGACAAGCGAAGCTACGGAGCGAAATAAAGTGAATCAGTGTGGTTAATTATTATTGTTTTAATTTTTATTAGTGTAAAGTGAATTAGGTGAATTTTTTAGTAACTCAGCTAATATTATAGAAGCGAAATTTTATCACTATGAATTGCGAAGCGTGTCGAAATCGAATTACTAGCGAGGAACTACTCCGATGTATAAAGTGTATGATACATTTTCATTATATATGCCTGAACTCTTATTATAAGGCTAACCTGGGCGAACTGAGAAGGTCCTGGATATGTCCACTTTGCATCAACGTAACTAGGCGAAAGGGAAACAACTGTTCGGAAACAATTAGAAAACATGGATGAATCTAGCATGTCCTGCGAAGACCTTACGATTAGTGAAACCACTGTTGAAATTAGTCGACCAGTTATGGATACTGTTAAAAATACACCCACGTCATCCGGATGTATTCCCGCTGCGAGTATCACATTGGACCAATTCTCGAGACTTCTAGATTTTAAGTTGGATACTAAACTAGAAAGCTTTCAAGCATCTTTAACCAGAACAATAAGGAAGGAAGTTAGTGATCAAATAGCCAAACTAAAATCCGAGTTCACCGTAACGACAGATTTTCTTGCGGAGGAGCAAAGGGACGAAAAACCTGAACTTAAGACGTTGTCAGACAAGGTCCGCAAGCTTGAAGATGAAAAGATGCAACTACAATCCGAATTATCCCAAATGAATAAAACTCTGCAGGTCTTAGACAGACAGGTCTTAGAAGAAACTGCAAAATTGAAATCCAGTCGGTACCCGAAAAACGATCGGAAAATTTATTGTATGGGTTGATGAAATTGTGTGAGGTCATAAATTGCCCTTTTGCTGAGTCAGACATAAAATTTATCCGCCGTGTTGCAAAGATGAACCCTTCGTCAGACCGTCCCCGCAATATTATTGCAATGCTGCACTCTGAACATCACCGCGACACTATCATCTCTGCAGTACGAAGATTCAATAAAGCTAACAGGTTGTGTCCGCTAAACTCGTCTCACATGGGCTTGCTTGGCGAAAAATACAATATCTACGTATCGGAACACCTATCAGCTGAATGCAAGGCATTACACGCCGCGTCAAGAAAATGGACTAAAATTAACGACTACAAATTTGTCTGGGTAAAATACGGTTGCGTCTATGTTCGTAAAAATGAAGAATCCCCTGCTATACTCATAAGCGACACTAGTTATTTATCAAAGCTGCCGCCTAATAACCCTGTATAGAGTAGTCTAATTTATGTATTTCTTTTATTTTTTCTTTTTGTAATCCGATTAAACTCGAGGCATTTATTTGGTATCTTTTTACATATTTTTAAGAATTCATATATATAATCAAAATCTCAATAGAAATAGAAGTAAAATAGATATTCTTTATAAAAACTTTCTGAACTCTAATTAAAATTTGATATGTCTAACTGAAACAAATTTCGATGCTTCTGTATATGATGGGGAACTGTTTGATATATCAGTACAATGTCTTCGGTAGAGATCGCGATACCACTTGTATTAAAAAATATAATAAAGACGATGTAGGCGGTGTCCTCGTAGCAGTTAAAAAACAATACTCTGCTGTCAGACAGGTCTCCTGGGAAAGTGAACTAGAGGATGTCTGGATTAGCATATCGCCACCTAATATTAATGGTCAGACAATTAATGTATGTGTTTGCTATCTGCATCCCTATCTTAATAAAAATGACCTGTCAAACTTCTATTCAAATCTTCAAAACATTATCCTAAAATCAAATGAACAGAATTCTTTTGCATTATTTGGCTACTTTAATGTACCCAATGTCTCATGGATCCTGTCAAGCGATGGCAGTATGATAGCTAGCTGCAATAAGATGGACTACAAGTTCAACCGCATCCCCAATAATAACAATAGGATACTAGATCTTGCTCTTAGCACTTCTGGAAATATGACCATCACCAACGAGAATACCTTATTAAAACAAGATAAACATCACCCTGCCTTACGGATCGATTTTCAATACTCAAATTCCTTTAATTATAAACCTCTCAAGGTCAATATAATATAAATATATACAATGAGTCAAAGCGGCTAAATTTCTATAAATGCCAATACAAAACTGTAAAGCAGAGAATCAATGAAACCAAATAGTCAGATCTACTTCATGGGGCAGATGTAGATGAGGCAGTGGCTAGATTTTACGATGTGATCTACGAAATTATTAATGATTGTACTTCCACAGTTAAGAACCGCTCAAATAAATATCCCAAATGGTTCAGTCCTGGCTTGCGTCGTTGTATGCGGGAAAAAAACAAATACCACGCGCGCTGCAAAAAGTACAAAAACCCACGAGATTACGATACATTTTCTCTCCTTCGAGCTAGATGCAAAAAACTCATAAACTGTTGTTACAATAAATACATCAGATCTGTCGAAAATGGTTTGACAAAAGACATTAAGTCGTTTTGGAGTTACATTAACAGCAAAAGACGCAACAACTCGAGTATTCCCGACTCAATGACATTTGGTGAAACAATGGCTGGTGGTAAGAAAATCTGCGATCTCTTTTCAGAATTTTTTGGATCAGTATTCGAAGATCATAGTCGTGAATCGGGTATATCCGATTGTTGTAGTCAAACAAATAGTCTTCTCACTAAAATCGTACTCACTGAGAACGAAATATTAACAAAACTGAGGCATCTTGACTCCAACAAGTGAGCCGGCCGGCGGTATGCGCTGATGAACTGTGTCACCCGCTTCTGCTAATATTTAATAAATCACTGAACAGCGGTGTTTTCCCTTCTCGCTGGAAAAAGCTAACGTTGTCCCCATATTTAAATCTGGTGACCGAGACAATTGTGAAAATTATAGACCGATAAGTATTTTATCAGCGGTATCCAAATTATCTGAATCAGTAGTATTTGATCACTTCTATTTTCGTTTAAAACCTCATATCAAAAAAGCAGCACGGATTCATCAAAAGGAGATCGACAGTCAATAACCTACCTAACTTCAAAACCTACATATGCGATGCTTTTAACAACCGTGGTCAGGTAGATGCCATATATACCGATTTTAAAAAAGCATTCGATAAAGTGGATCACGCAATTTTATGTTAGAAACTCGAGTCACATGGTATACATGGCAGTTCTGTTGCGTTGGCTCGAGTCCTACTTGAAAAACAGGAGTCAGCTCGTGACCGTCAAGGGGTACACATCAGAAGAAATCCTCATTACGTCCGGTGTTCCACAAGGATCCCATTTGGGACCGTTACTTTTTGTGACCTTCATTAATGACCTCATTGAGAAAATTCAGTCCCCTTGCCTGTTATACGCTGACGACCTAAAAATTTTCAATAGAATTGGTGGAGCTGTTGGACACTCGCATCATACAGGAAGACTTAAACAGCCTGTCTAATTGGTGCAGAGAAAATAACATGTTCCTTAATGTCAAAAAATGCTTTGTCATCACCTACACACTTAAAAAAAAACAAGGTATCAAACAATTATATCTTAGAACAACAAACTCTATCTCATGTGTCGTCTATTAGAGATCTCGGGGTCATGTTTGACGAACAGCTTAGTTTTCGTTAGGTTTCGTTACTAGACAGAGCAGGCACTTCAAGAACCCAAAAATTTTAATTTTGTTGTATAACAGTCTGGTTCGAAGTAATTTAGAATATAGCTCAATTATATGGAATCAATACTATGCAGTGCATTCTGAGCGCATTGAATCGATCCAATCCAAGTTTTTGCGTTTATTAAGCTTACGTACCGGCAACAATAGAAGACTCCGGTCATAAGCTGAGAGGCTTAAAGAGTTTAATATGACACCACTTCACCTCCGTCGCGACGAATTGGACCTAGTTAACCTACACAAAATAATACACACGGAACTGGACAGCCCCGAGGTTTTGGAACTGTTAAATTTTAACATAAAACACAACCCACGTAGACCTATGAAAAAAATATTTGACATACCCCTATCGCGAAATAATATCTCTCGAAATCAACCCTATCAAGGTTATGTCGACTTTATGAGGATTGTCTTATTCATATTGTCATATTTAATAAGTCTGTATTTTGAACTTTTAAACTAAAAAGCGAAAGTATTTTATGTTGTTTCATTGTGTATAATATTAGTTACATAATAAGAATTATTTTTATTAATAATGAGAGGGTGCGTAATCTGTAAAACTCGTTACCAAAAGGGAAGTGGTATAACATTTCACAAGTAAGTGAATTTGTAGTAAATATTAAACAAATTAAAACTATTTGATTATATACGTACTTAGAAATAATACTTAATAATGAAAAAAATAAACATATTAATATCATATATACCAACATGTTTGGCTGTATATTACTGAGTTTTGATAAACAATAAAATTCAATAGGGTTATCGAGTTCCTTGTCTATAACACTTATCGATGTTCTTTCCTACCCATATCTGTTAACAAACAAAGTCACCAACAACAGTTGATTATCAAATGTTTATTAATTAATAGGTTTCCAACTGAACCTAGACTAAAATTATGGCTTAAAATCGTAAATATCGTGAATTGGCGTCCGAAACAAAATGATCATATTTGTTCCAAACATTTCAAGAGACTGTTTTATTAGATATGAGAACAACTTTGAAAAGTGAGTATACTGACAAATTTTCTGGTATACCAGTAACTACAAGTACTAAGTATTAGTTTATTTTTTTTATTTCTTCTTTCCTCATTTTTCACCAAACTCAAGGGCCATAGCCAAGTGTCGAAAGGTCGCCTGATGATGTCGAGCCACGTTGGATGTGTGTTAGTGGGCTGCGGCTAGAGGAGATTCCTCTCCCTGTACCGCTGTAGTCGAGGTGGAGTCGTAAGGGAAAGAGGAGTGTTGGTGGAGGAGATCGACTGTCTTTCGCGACTTTGGTGAGGCTGCACCACTTGATGCTTCCAAGTGCTCGTTTTTCCCTGGCTCCATTCACATATCGGGCTCGGTAATTGATAATTTTAGTAATTTTAATTTCGAAAATGACGTTGTAAATAACTGATAACTATGTAATTCAAAGTTTATATTTTTTATATTATCTTGCTAGCTCATACCCGGCGCATTGCTGCCGCAGAAAAAGTAATTGTGGGAATATCGTTGAAAATGTGGAACAGTTATATTGTACAATTAGGAATGATAATACAATCATTGAAATAGAATGATATATAACTTTCAAATAAATAGTCAGTATAATACACACGCCACCTAGTGTCAGTTAATTGTACCATGCGTATAACCTTCGCACAAGTGCAACCAATAAGTTGACTAAGTTTTACCGCAATCTGATGAACGGTATGGCATCGTAGAAAGTACGAACAAACATAAATTTTTGTATAGTAGAAAATATTTTACTGTCCATAGACAGACTAGTTGATTAGAATAGGCGTTATTATAGCAGCTGATTAGTTTTTTATAATACTAAAACTAAATGAACGGTTGACAATAAATTATTCTAGAAATTATGTTTTTATTTTTATTTTATGTACTTAGTTTAATCCTGATAATTTTTTTGGTTGAATGGATAAGGGCTACGATGTCTATCCGAGTGCAGAACCAGAGTACAAAACTAATGCAACTGTAGAGATGTTTAAGACAGGGTGACGTAATATCCCCGAAATACTTTACCGCTGCATTGGAAAACGTTTTCAACCTACTGGACTGGAAAGAATACGGTATTAACGTCAATGTCGTGTACGTCACTCACCTTCGATTTGCTGACAATATAGTCCTTATGGCACAATCGCTGAAGGACCTACGCACTATGTTAAATGACCTTAATAGTGTCTCCCAACG